ATCTCTCGATTAAGGTTATATTAAGGTTAAACATAACCATTAAGCCATCTCTCAATTTTCCAAATAGTTACCTGTTGTGCAGTAATAATCACACCTTCCATTCTTCATTTGTTCCATGGTTTTCAAAACCGGATCCGACTGGATGGTCAGATTGGAAAAACTGAAAATCAGTCAAAAACTGTTAATTTGGTCAGTAAACCGTTGATTCGGGTAGTTGAACTGTCTAAACTGTTTGAGCCATTCAACAGTTTTAACCGTTTTTTATTTTTTAATTTTTTTATTAGAATGGACCGTCCTTTCGATTCAAATGGTCAGATTATTCAACCCAAAAACCAAACCCCTATCGATTCATTGTCCGATTCGATTTTAAAAACCTTGATTTATTCATTTCTTTCCAACCAAGGAATAATACAGGCTGTAAAACCAACTGCAGCCCATTGATTATTGGAAAAACAATCACCTTTGAATTTTGGACTCCAATTGAATCTTCCACATAAATAGTACAAATCCAAAAGTCTAGTAAAGTGGGTCCTAACCTTTTCGGCAAACAGCCCAACAAGGACCCCTTGAGAGAGATGATTTAAAGGTTCCGCACTCTTATCTCTGCAACAGTTACATTTGGATACCAAAAAGACACCCACATGCTCAACACTTCCATCCACTTGAAGTTTACCATGCAATAATTTCCAAATGAAAACCAAATGTTTAGTGAGAATATAATTCTTTCAAACATGATGCCACGCCTTCCTCTACCATCCACTTCTTTAAGCCTTGGTTTGTGGTTCATAATATACATTTATTTGAGTAAATGTTTTTTTAGAAAATATTCAGATAAGTGTATTTATCGATGTTCTTTTATTCATACATAAAATTGTACAATGATTTTTTTATCCAAAAAAAATGATATTATTGAAAGGACAATATTATCCCATCGTGTAAGTAATTTTCAGCATGGATGGATAAAGATTTATCCAAGTCTTAGAAGGGTATTACTTGCTTGGACTGCAAATGGATCAGACCAAATTCAGTAAAGGGTATATGATCTGATCTGATTCGATAAGAATTCGACCGATCCTGATTCAATAAGAATTCATTGGATTTTCAAGAGTAAGATATGAATTCAAATTCTAATATCTTATTGGAGAATTGTAATAAAAAATTTTATGATATAATATATAATTCTATAAATAATATATAGAATATACATATATAACATTTTATAACTAACGGATCGGATGAGGTTATGGTGGTTGGATCAGGATATATCTGAATTTGGTTTATTAGTTAAATGGGTCATTTTTTCAATGTCTGATCTAACTTACTTGCAACCCTATTACTTGCCTAGGTAAATGAGCCACTCGAGAATCATTCTTTTCCGTGAGATTCACTAATATAAAAAATATAAATATAGTTTTTTTTTTTCATAAAACCCACCTACTTATCTGCCTCCACCTCCCAGAAAATGAACCAGGCCTAAGGAGTAGTATGACAGCAGCTGAAAGGACTGAACTGAAATGCTTATTACTTTTTTTTTTCTTTTGAATACAAGGAGTATGTGGGAAACCCAATTTCAGCTTCAGCCAATAATAAGGATTAAGGAGCTCACAACCTCCTTATAACTAACTAAATAAAATTTATTATACCCAATTTACTTTTTTTTTCTCACACAATTAATAGTCATTGTTCTTTCAATTTCATCAAGAAAAATGGACAAGAAAATACTCCTTTTTTCCGTAGTAGAGAGTTAGGGCAATGAAGCTTAAAAAAAAGTGATGTGGAAGCAGATTAATTCAAAACCGTGTGTAAACAGGACCTTTGCTTGTTTTGTTCAAAACAAACAAATTAGCCTAAAAACACCTAAAACCTAAAATAACCATTCCAAATGCAAATATCATGTTATGAGTCAAAACTATCTATATGATCAGCTTTCTTGTCAAAATTTCTTTTAAAGATCAACCTATAAAGATTACTAGCTAGGCAAATCCCAATTTGTGGCCTTCTAGGTTGGGTATTAGCTCATAATCTATCCAATTCCTTTCCCATCTTGCATTTTCCCTTTCAATTATGATAAAGTACTAAGGCCTCAAATTTTTTTTATTTTACTTATAATAAAGGGGTCTAGAAAACTTGCTAGACAAGCCCACTTGTAGGAGGAATCCTTTGGCCAATCTAAAATCTAAGCTGTTTATTGCATGGTGGGCCCTCTAAATGATCATGTGTTACCTCTTAGTCCCCATCTGCTTTCTACCACCTTAGTTTTTGATTTTTAGTATACAATAAAGAAAAAAAGCTGCATAGAGACAGGGGATTGAAGGGAACATTAGTCCAAAATTTCTTTTTGCCACGAGTGCAATTTGGGTACCAAGGTGCAAAGTAAGAGTTGATTTCATTTTAGAGTCACCAAATACTAGTTAAGAGCTAGTTGATTTTATTTGTTTTAAATGTTATTACTGTATGTGATAACTGATATATCTACTAACAAAATATCAGAATTAAAAAAAAATATAATTTTCGACCGAACAAAATTTATGTATATCATGAATATTGATAAAACCGGACCGGACGGTTGGACCAAAAACTGGGAACTGGTCAGGTGACCGGTTCCATTTTCCCCAAAAACCAGATTTCCCCCCAAAACCGTTGATTTTGTTCAGCGAACTGCTGAACCGGGCGATTAACCATTCAAATGGTTTTAAATTTTTTCATTTTTTTTGAATTTTTTATTTCTTTTGTCAGAATGGGCCGAGCATTCGATACAAACGATCGGACTGCTTGACTCGATAACTGGATCCTTGACTAATTCGGTCACCAAATCGGTTTTAAAAACCATATATAAGAGTACCCGATTTGAAGATTTTTCATTGCATTGGACCCAAATATTAAAGACACTCAAAATTTAACAAATTCTCAACCCGACCCACCCAAATTACACAACCCTACCTGGGAAGGGGGAGGGGTTGTTTTGGCTCAAATTTGCACGACATATAGGAGGAGGTGGTATTATGAATGTATACAATAATACCTTTTTGGGCTCCTAATAAAGCTATTAATTGATTATATTCTTGGCCTCTTGGGTCACCTTATTCCTTTCCATGAATCAACATCCAATTTATGATAATGGTGATTTGGGCACATCCAAATAATTAGTAGTTAGACAATTCTTAATGGTGATTTGGGCACATCCAATTTATGATAAACAGTCTCATTTTTAATTAGTAGTTAGACAATTCTTGTTATTCCAACCACTAGAATGATTCTTTTATCATTAAAAGAGAATTGTCTTCTCTTTTAGTGATAATAATAATAATAATAATAATAATAATAATAATAATAATAATAATAATAATAATAATAATAAGTGTAACCAAGTCACAACCCCATGAAAACCGTTGCATGTGTGCTTATTAAAAAATTCAAATAATTTAAAGTTTAAAAAGGGGCAAACAACCCACAGTTTGCGGCAACTCTTACTCTGATTGTCCATTCATGCAGAAGGTACATATAGAGATGTACAGATTTGTTCTTTTAAATAGGTGTCAGTATCTCACAGATTATAAAAAAAGAAATAATTTGGCATTTTAAATTATGATTATATAACTTAATTTGGTATTAATGCTTTGTATCAGAGATACTATTACAATAGTTTGTATTTTAAAAAGGGTATCAAGTATCTCTAACCATATTTATGGAAAGATTAGATGCTTAAAGAAAGACTCTGAAGTCTCCATCCCCAACTTTTGCACCAACTTGTAATTTGCATTTATAAAAGAAGTTACAACTTACAACCAAGTATATATTAAAGAGAAGTCATTAATTAATACTTGACACCTTTCCTTCATCCTTCTGTCCTATAAATTGTGGGACCCGCCATACTTATGGGATCTGTTCCCACTTTAGTTTTCCATCCCAGATTGAGAAAGAAAGCTTGTTTAATAGTTGGCAAACTGGCAAAACATTTAACTGTATTAAATTATCAAGAAATCACAGAGCCAAATACCAACTGAATATCATATCCCCCACCCAACCATGAGAGTGAGAGAGATGGAGACTCTATCAATCACTTGATTGGAATAAATTGTGGGACCCACTTTCTTTTTTTGGTTTTTTTAATGGGATTTGTTCTAAATTAGTTTCCCATCTTAGATTGAGCATTAAAAGCTTGTTTAATGGTTAGCAAGCAGGCAGAACATTTAATAGAATTAAATTATCAAGAAATCAGAGAGCCAAATATCAACTGAAAATCCCCCACCCACCGTGAGAGAGAGATAGAAACTCTTATCAATCACTTGATTGGAATAACTTGTAGGACCCACTATTTTTATGGTATTTGTTCCACTTTAGGTTTCCATCCTAGATTGAGCAAAAAAAGCTTGTTTAATAGTTGGCAAGCAGGCAAAACATTTAATAGTATTAAATTATAAAGAAATCACAGAGCCAAATATCAACTGAGTATCAATCACTTGATTCGAATAAATTGTGGGGCCCACTATTTTTATGGGATTTGTTTCACTTTAGGTTTCTAGATTGTGCAAAATATCAACGGATTATCCAATATCCCCTCGTTCCCCACCCACCAAGAGCCACTGAGCCACACCTCTTAAGAGTCTTAGATTGGAATAAAATTGTGGGACCCACTCTATCAATTCCTTAAAACCAACAAGGCGGTGGTAAACTGCTATCTTCTCTGATCGTTGGTCAAAGTATCAAGCCTAACATGTGGCCCCCACCACTGCAAGGCAACAGAGATGGACAAAGAAAGGACGGTCATGATCAAAGACTTGGTGGGCCATTGTCACAGAGTCTCCATGATCGTTAGAATGTTAGATAACCTGTAATAAGAATAAAGAAAAAGAAAAAGAAAAAAATCTAGTCAAGTGCAGATGAAGGAAAACCGCCATTACCTAACCCGAGAAATTGATTTTCTCGAGAAATGAACCTTCCATGTATTAACTTCTAGCGTTTTTGAAGCGCTAAAAAGTTTAAAAATCGAAGAAGTTAAATCGAGAGGGAAAAGGTTGAGAAAGCTGATTTTGCCTGTCATTAAAGCTTCAGTTATCGAACTTTCTTTCTCTCTCTCCGGGCCCTCGAATTCACCGTTCAAGAAACGATTTTCTTCTCTCGACATGAAAATGACTTGGGCTTGTATGCTCTTGTTGTGACTTGTGAGGAAGCAAAAGGGAGAGAAGCTGAGAAGGTTGTGATTCAATGCACCTGAGTTCGAGTGAGAGAAAAAGAGCTAGATTCGATGCATGAGTTTGTCTATATAAAGGCTAGATTTTACTGCACAAAATTTGGCTGCAGACTGAAGCTGTCGCTGTTTTCGAGATCTATGCGTGGAAAGGAGAACTGGGTTTCTTTTTTTCGTCTTCTGGGTCATAAAATTGATGGTATGCAATTATGGATGCAGAGGTATGCAATTGCATTTTCTTGCATGGGTTTAGAACCGTCATGGGATTCTTGGGTTCTTCCTGGAGGTTGATTTATAGTTTCTTACAGTTTTTGAATTCCTTACCGTTGAGGTGGCTTTCTAAACTAGAAAAGTGGTTCCTTTTCTATTTATACATTTTTTTAATGGAGGATATTGAATCTATGCTTTACCTTTTCCGGTTATTAGAGTTATGGGTTTTGATACTTTCCAGAATTCTGTTCTGGGTTTTCTTCCAGTTTGGAAATATTGTTTCTTTTGGTGGACTAAACAGCTTTTGTTGATGATTGATGTTATGAATTTTAATATATCTCAGAGTTTGGCTCTGGGTTCTCTTTCAATTGGCAAATGTTGATTCCTTTGTTGAATATAGCTCTAAGATATTGGTTAATTAGCTTATTAATGTAAGATAACTGACATTGTGCAGGTTCCTATATTCTGCTTGGGTGTTAATTTAAATTGAGAATCAACTGCTAAAATGTTCAGGATTATAAAGTCTGACAGAGCTTCATTTGCGGCCTTTAGTGGTTATGTGCTGGTAGCTGCTCTATTGGTTTGTAGTTCTAATGGGTTAAATGCAGAGGGGCAACAACTACTGGAACTGAAGAATAGTCTTCATGATGATTTTGACTCTCTAAGTAGTTGGAATGCCGATGATGAGACACCTTGTGGATGGAGGGGTGTGAATTGCACGTTTGACTACAATCCAGTGGTCTGGTCTCTTGATCTGCATTCCATGAATCTTTCTGGCAACCTAAGTTCGAGTATTGGTGGTCTGGTCCACCTGACTTATCTTGACTTGTCATACAACAAGCTATCTGGGAGCATACCCATGGAGATTGGAAGTTGCTCTAAGTTGGAGCTTCTTTACTTGAACAATAATCAGTTTGAAGGGGAAATACCTGTAGAATTGGGTAACATGTCTTCATTAACAGAACTAAATTTATGCAACAATAAAATATCTGGGCATCTTCCAGAAGAGCTTGGGAACCTTTCTTCCCTGGTTCAATTAGTTGCATACACTAACAAACTCTCAGGCCCATTGCCTCGTTCGCTTGGGAACCTCAAGAGATTGAGAATTTTTCGAGCGGGACAGAATTTGATATCTGGAAGCATACCTGTGGAGATAATTGAAGGATGTGAAAGCCTAGAAGTCTTGGGTATTTCCCAAAGCCAGTTAAGTGGCGAAATACCGAAGGAGCTAGGAATGCTTGGAAAATTGAAGGAACTCCTCCTTTACAGTAATGAGTTGTCGGGGGTAATTCCAAAGGAGTTAGGGAATTGTACTAATCTGAAGACTCTTGCTCTTTACCAGAACAATCTTGTGGGTGGAATACCAATGGAGATTGGAAACTTGAGGTTTTTGGATAAGTTGTACCTTTACAGGAATGCATTGAATGGCACCATTCCAAAGGAGATTGGCAATCTTTCTATGGCAACAGAGATAGATTTTTCTCAGAATTTGTTGACAGGAAAGATACCGATAGAGTTAAGTAAGATAAAGAGTCTACGCTTACTCCATCTTTTTCAGAACCAGCTCACAGGCATTATTCCAGATGAGCTTGGCAGTTTAAGGAATCTGACTAAGCTCGATTTGTCAATGAATTACCTCACAGGTCATATTCCAGTTGGATTTCAATATTTGACTGAACTACTCCAGTTGCAGCTCTTCCACAACTTACTCAGTGGTAATATACCCCAAAGGCTTGGATTATATAGCCGACTTTGGGTGGTTGATTTATCAGAGAATAATCTAACTGGGCAAATACCTCATCATCTTTGCAGACATTCTAACCTGATTTCATTGAACCTCGGGTCAAACAGGCTGACTGGAAATATCCCTACAGAGGTCACAAACTGCAAATCACTGGTGCAGCTTCGCCTTGTTGGAAACAGCCTTACAGGGAGTCTTCCATCTGATTTATGCAAATTGGTCAACCTCTCTGCTATTGAACTAGACCATAATAGGTTTAGTGGCCCTATTCCCCCAGAAATAGGGAACTGTAAAACATTGCAAAGACTTCATCTCTCAGAGAACTACTTTACATCTGAATTGCCAAAAGAAATAGGTAATCTTTCCCAGTTGGTGATCTTTAATATCTCATCAAATATGCTTACTGGACAAATACCACGGGAAGTAGTGAATTGCAGGATGCTACAACGACTTGATCTCAGTAGGAACAGATTTACAAATTCACTGCCACATGAGATTGGAAACCTATCTCAATTGGAGCTTCTCAAGCTTTCAGAAAATAAGCTTTCTGGGAGCATACCTGCATCTCTGGGCAATCTCTCCCGTTTAACTGAGTTACAGATGGGTGGTAATGCACTTTCTGGTGTGATACCACCGGAATTAGGTAGACTTTCAAGCTTACAGATTGCAATGAACCTTAGCTATAATAATCTCTCTGGGAATATACCACCTGAGCTTGGCAATCTTATCTTGCTGGAATGTCTCCTGCTCAACAACAATCATTTGACTGGTGAAATTCCCGACACTTTTGGAAACTTGTCGAGTTTACTAGGGTTCAACCTTTCATACAACAACCTCACTGGACCTTTGCCTTCCATTCCACTGTTTCAGAACATGGCCATCAGCAGTTTTATTGGAAATAAAGGGCTCTGTGGGGGACCTCTTCAGGGATGCAGTGGATCTCCATCTTCACCCTCTTTCCTGCCAAATTCACAAGGAGCTACACCTCTTTCTAAAATTGTTGCAATAGTTGCAGCAGCTGTGGGTGGGGTTTCTCTTGTTCTAATTGTAGTTATTGTATATTTCATTAGACGTCCAGTTGATGATGTTGCTCCTTTTCAAGATAAACAATTATCTTTTCCTCTGTCAGATGACATGTACTTTTCTCCTAAAGAAGGGTTCACTTTCCAAGACCTGCTTGAAGCGACAAACAATTTTAATGACAGTTTTGTGATTGGAAGAGGAGCTTGTGGAACAGTCTACAGGGCTGTTATGCCATCTGGGCAGACAATTGCTGTTAAGAAGCTTGAATCTAATAGAGAAGGGAACAATATTGAGAACAGTTTTCGCACCGAGATTTTAACCCTTGGGAAGGTTCGGCATCGGAATATTGTGAAATTATATGGGTTCTGTTACCACCAAGGTTCTAATCTTCTTCTCTATGAGTATATGGGAAAAGGCAGTCTGGGAGAACTTCTTCATGGTTCATCTTGTAACTTGGAATGGCGGACAAGATTAGCAATTGCTCTTGGGGCTGCTCAGGGGCTTGCTTATTTACATCATGACTGCAAACCTAAGATCATTCACCGGGATATAAAGTCCAACAACATTCTACTCGATGATAACTTTGAGGCTCATGTTGGAGATTTTGGACTGGCAAAGATCATTGACATGCCGCAGTCCAAATCAATGTCTGCTATTGCGGGATCATATGGCTATATTGCGCCTGGTAAGCTCTAGTTGGACTTTTTTATCACATTGTTTTGAAATTTTGTTGGGTGGTCATTCTCTGCATAATAGGCTTTCCCGGGGCACTGATAAAACACCTGCTTCTTTGAATATCTTTCTTTTTTCCTTTTTTATCTTTATGACCATATTACATGATATGACCAGTATAATATGATATGTCTGAAAAATATGCAGCAAGACTCTATTTAGACCCATATTTTGGGTTCTATTTCCTATTTACATGATTTAGGAAATCAAGAAAAGATGAGAAGTGTTTTTCTATATAAAAGGGCAGTCCAGTGCACAAGGCTCCTGCCAATGCAGGGTAACGGTAAAACTAGGGGTGTAACTTGGGTCAGGTTTGGTTGAAAAATTAATAAATTCTCAATGGGCCTGAGGTCAAAGTACCATGTAATATAGGAGCCAAGCAGTCAGATATTGGATTTCTAATTTCATTAAGTATTTTGGTATTTATAAACAGTAAGCATATTTTGGTCTTTTTACATGTTCTTTATGGGGTCCAGTCTAGTGTTTTTTGTCTACTTGTAGTTTAGTTGCATTTAAAGTTTCAGAGTCATTGGTTAACTAGTTTAGGAGTTATTTAATTTTCTTTTAGTTGAAGTATGATCAATAGAATCATAATTTCCAGTAAAATTAGGAAAATTGGTAAATGATATTTGAATGATTTTTATGCATATTATGTTTATGGTGAGTAATTTCTGGTGTGATCCTAGGTTCATAGAGCACCCTTATTTATGAAGTTTCTATCACCTTTCATTCTTCTCAATTTCATCCCAAAACTCCATCTACAACCCTAGCTTCCTGAGTTGTGTTTTTTTTTCTTTTTTTCTTATGGAGGGATTTTTTTTCTTTGTGGAAAACTTACTCAAAATGTTTTGAAATTAAATCTCCTTGTACAATTCATCATCCTAAGCATCTCTACAAAGTTTCATTAAAGAATTCTATCCTTCAGACAGTTTTTGAATTGTCTGTTTTTCTGTAGTCTCATCAGAATTCTCGCCAATTTGGCTCAGAATCTTTCTAACTTCTATCAATTTTTATATATATTTAGTCCTAAAATCATTTGTAAACCATTCTTAACCCATCATTGCTCTCCTAATTTGGCATTAAAGTAATTGATCCTACAGTTAATATTAGAGCAATTGGTCCTATAGCACTATGCCTTTCTTCATTTTCTTTTAATAATTTATTGCCATTGACCATTGAAAGACAAATAGTAATATCTTATTTATTTGGACCTACCACTTGATTTCATGGAGGAAAAGCTACCACTTTATTTTAATTTTATCATTTCACTGGGATCAAAGTGATATGCCTGATTATTAGTATTTCAAGTATGATACTTTTCTCTAAGTGATCTATCACCATCAATGATCAAATCTTGCCTCTAAAATGGAGAAAAAGGTGCAAGGAAAATTTTGTCTTCTTCATCAAATTAATATGAATAGATCTTATTTTGGAAGCCTATCCAAACAATTAATACTGAAACCCAAACTTAAGACCTGGTTTTTAACAGAGAGAGAAAGAATGATGCAGTTACTTTTTTATATTTATAAGTTAGTTGAAGTGATATCTCATTTGTACTTTTAGCTTGTTTGGAACATTTTGGGCTTTAAAATAACTAGTTATGATTTTTTGGTATTACTAACTCTGGCTTCAAGCTAGGTCCGTGGTTATATTTCTTGCAAATAGATACAACGAAACATTCTGGACTGTCTTTTGAGTTCCTTTTAAGAGCCTTTTTGTTCTTTGTTTTAGTATAGTGGTGTAAGTTGTGCCTTTCTGTGGAAGCCCTCTATGAGAGGTGGATTTTAGTAGTGATAAAACTGATTTTATACATTATCATTATTCATTAAGGTGCATAGTAGGGGTATTTTCAATTATTCATATGAATTACACCATTCAATTATTCATTATTCATATGAATTACACCAACCAAACATTCTTGTTTTGTTTTATTTATACGATGAATGACTTCTAGTTTATGAAAGAATTTCCACCCCAACTAAGATCCCTTGCTGGAGGCTTGTGCTGCAGTTTCAGAACCTCAGGCTCACATACCTTAATTAATCCTTCAAACAATGAAGCACAAGCCTCACACTTTTTAGGCTTGTTTTATGTTTCATTTTTTTATTTATTGTTTTCTTTTTTATTTTCTTTTTGGGGGGGGGCATTGTTTACCGTGTTGATAATTGATATGGACAATAGTTTACATTACTGGTATATCCATTGGTTAAAATATGTGTTACTCTGCCAGGTTATGGCATTCGTTTGTGCTATCAGTAGATTCTATAGAAACTTGATTCCTTTGACTGATTATTTTCTTTTATGTACCTTTTTTTGTTTGTCAGAATATGCATACACCATGAAAGTTACAGAAAAATGTGATATCTATAGCTATGGAGTAGTTCTCTTGGAGTTGTTGACTGGAAGAACACCTGTGCAACCACTAGACCAAGGAGGTGACCTTGTTACATGGGTGAGAAACTATATTCAGAAACATTCATTGACACCTGGGATATTTGATGCACGATTAAATGTAACTGACAAGAACACTATTGAGAACATGATTACTGTTTTAAAAATTGCTTTACTCTGCACGAGTTTGTCCCCACTTGATCGCCCTGCAATGAGAGAAGTTGTGTTCATGCTGATAGAGTAGTGAGCAACAGGGGAGCATTGTTTCTTCTTCAAATGATGATATCTCTTTCAAAGATGATATCTCATGAATGTCTTTAATATGTTGGAACAAAGAAAATGATCTCCCACTTTTGGTGCTGATTCTTCCCTGTATTCTTTGCAAATCAAATTTATAGTGTTTCTCTCTACATTTTTTTTTCACACAATTGCCTCTGCTACTGTATCACATCAGCTTCTGTAGCTAATCAACATTGTTGTCAAAATTCTATTTCTTTGAAAGAAAATAGAACATAAATGATTATACAATTGGCCGTGCCTCCTCTACCATAAAAGATTTTGTTGGAACAAAGAAAGTGATCTCCCACTTTTTCCCTGTATTCTTTGCAAATCAAATTTATAATGTCTCTCTCTACATTTTTTTTTTCACACAATTGCCTCTGCAACTGTATCACATGAGCTTCTGTAGCTAATCAACGTTGTCAAAATTCTATTTCTTTGAAAGAAAATAGAGCATAACTGATTATACAATTGGCCGTGCCTCCTCTGCCATAAAAGATTTTGTTGTGAAATTACTAAGATATACATCATATTCACCAAACATTAATATTTATGCATTTTCTAGTTCTGCATTAATCAAGATGCTGCAACTTACTAATTGACAATAACTTCCTTATAGGTTGATAAGCTCTACCACAGCTTGACTGGTATTCTTTTGGCATATGTGAATTAATTCTCAAACAGTTAAACCCATAAAATGGTCTTGTTTGGAGAGTAACAATATAATAATGGAATCCAGAAGATAATTTAAATATCAACATTAGAATAGAGAGCAATGTGCTAGCTGAAAATCTGCTTGTTAAAATATGCAAAATTTGTCTGACTCTAGAGTTAGGTATTGTAAATGGCATAAAGCTTGTGTTTGGATGAACCGCTAGTTCTGATAAAAATATACACTGACCACTTCAATGTACATCATAGCAGACTCTAGCAGTCTTTTGGTTTGTCTGTTAAACTATAGAAACTTTGTTGTGCTCTGTACTCCTGGATTGTCTAGAATGGGGTTGTTCATATCTGAAAGTACCCTATACACTACGGATTGTGGCACCATTTTCTTGTGAGATTTTAGAAGATTTTGATTAACTTGTTCCCTGTCTTTGTTCTATTTCCAGTTATCACAGCTTTGTTTATTTATTTATTTATTTTGCACAATAAAAACTATCAAAGGTTCATCGAAGCCAGAGTACAGAGTTTAAACAGTCTGCTGCTCTCCCAAACTACTATTCTATTATATTTACATGCATTATTGACCAGATCATGGTCAGCAGAGTTGGTATATCTACTTATTTGTGTAATACATACATAATCAAAAAGCTTCAACAGGTCTACAGAACTCTCTCTAAGATGCTTGACACTCCAGTCAGTTTTCAGATCTTCATTTATAGTATTTACAGCACTATTGAATCACAAAAGCAAGTAGAGATTTTATACCCAGTTAGCTTGCTTTCTTGAAGCCATCTATGAGGGTCCACCATTCTGCTTGTGAAGCTGAGTTGGCTGTGTTCTTTGATTTTCTCCATTCAAAACAGAGATTTTATCAAGGATGGTGTATCCAGTACCAGCTTCCCCTGTATTTGGCCTAAAAGCCCCATCTACATATAGTTAAAATTCAATGGAACTAGAGGTTTCAGTCTCTTTTCTTCGTAGTTTCTGTTGAGAGTTATGATTTAAAGACAGATAAGTCTCTACTCTCAGTCAGATGAGCTGGTTCTACGAGTGTGTAACTTGACATTTCTTGCATACCAGATGAGCCTAAACAAGTCAAGAAATTCTGCCACAAAATGCTGTTTTTCTTCTGATGACAGATGAAATAATTTAAGTTTGGCTCATTGAGATACAAACTGGCTTAATTAATCGTTTTGCACTTCCTTTGGGTTAATGCCTATTTGAGCTGTGAACCATACAGCTTTGGCATATGGACAATTAAAAAAATAAATGCTGCCAAGATTCTTAATCTCCATTACACATGATGCAAAATCTATCTCGGCTCGGATCTTATTCTTTCATAGCAGGTATCTGATGTGATTGAGTGCGATCTTTATATTTGAGTGATGTGGTTCACTGTTTCAACTGTAATATAAGAAGATAACAGTTGAAGATCCCAGTTCCCACCCTGTCCTTCAGATCACTTTTGAAATGGGAAGATGAGTAACAAAATTCTCTCTCAATCTTGGTGAACCCAGTGTTGGTATCCAACGATCTAGAATATTAATTGATCTTCCATCTTTAACATGCCAAAACAGTCTACTTTTTGTCTGGTTTACCATTTTCACTACTTTTTTCCCAAAATTGAGGAGAGTAGTGTTTCACATCTCTTTGATTATTTGAGCCCGTAAGTTCCTTGTGAATAATCTTCAAACTTGCTTTGTAAACAAAGCCTCATTATACTTGAGGTCTAAAATGGTTTGTGTCGGTGGAAATTTCTTTGTTGTATGGACTGATTTAAGTGCAAAAAGGTTGAACCTTGTTGGGTTTTGAGTTGCAAAAATTGAATCTTTAATCAGCCCAAGAATGGAGAAATTCGAAATTCTCATGGAGAAACAATTTTCTCCCTGTATCGTTTTAGGGTTAGACAATCAAATTTGATGTCCAGATTAAAGTTGTAATCGTACCTGATGCAGATACTACAATTGCAGCTTCCAATGTGGTGGTTTGCGCCTAAAACTCAAGTCCAAATTGAGTCCAAGAACTGAAAATGGCACAACTCCAAAAAAAGAACTCAATCTAGTCTTCTTTCGTGAATCAATGTGCATTCCAATGCATCTCTTTGAATGCAGCTATTAATAACTTGAATAATCTCTGCTTTTTGCTAGAAAAAAAAAGAAACAGAGAGAAAAAGTTCCCCTTTCACCTTGGTTGAACTAGGGTTTCGAAGTTGTAAAATAGGTAATAATCTCTAGCAAGACTGTCATGAGTTGAGATCTTCTGCAAACAAAACAGGTTCCAACCCTCTACCAACTTGATCCAACACCGCATATCTCGTTATGAGACTGGGACCCACCACGTATGAGATGTACGGTGTGAGATTATGTTGGTAGTCCTTTCTAATCATATTAGAAATATGAAAGATCCAAGCCCGTTACAAATTCGACCTATGTTGTCTAATAATCCAATTATCCAGTCAAAATAGTCATACTACCCTTTAATTGGAATTGGACCTTTAAATTCAAGTTATTTAATTCATATATTTAACTAGTCCATCAGACCTAAATATTGTATAGTGTGGGACCCATTAAGTTCTCACACCAAGACATGGGTTTGATCCATGTAGAGAACCACATGCACTGAATTCACTAAGACTATATTTGGTTTGAAGGAAAAGGTAGGGAAAGTAAGGGAAAGACAGGGAAATCAATACAAGGTTTGTAAAGGTTTCCCTACCTTTCCCTTCTTTTCTTTACATTTTCCTTCAAACCAAACATAGCCTAAGTGTACCTAGTGAACCTCCTACCCAATCTAATTATGCGTGGAAACAACCTAACACTTAAAACATAAGTGGGCTTTGGTTTCAGCCACCCTATGAAACACAAAGCCAATGAATTAATGTGAGAAATAAGCCCATCAAGTTTCAGCTTATAGACTTTTGCTCTTAATCTCTCAACCCATGATATCTCTACATTGTTCACAAGGAAGAACCTTTTGCAAACCTTTTCATAAAATAAACTATTTATAAATACAAATACATTTTGCAAATTGATTTCAAAACACATTGAAATCTATAGTCAGTAGTTCAAGTTTCTATTAGAGAGAGTGTTAATCAAAATATTCTCCTTATCTAACAAAGTGGTCGGATCCTATCACAATGATCACCCATTCAAGTGATATTCCAAACTACTCTCCAACATACTTAGGCATTTAACCCTTAGAGGATTTCATTGGTTGGTACATAAAAAACAACATAATCCAACATTAATGTACTAATGTAGTTTCATTATCAAGCCTAGGGTTAAGTGCAACTTTTTAGTTTTATTCATTTGTCTCCAAGGTCCAAGGCATAATTAGAAATGATTTTGTTTAGTGGTTTTAACAAATACTCATTGATTGTACCCTAGGTCTAACCTTAACAATTGAGACAATTTACTCCCTATTTAGTGTTTTGTTATTCCACATATATACAATATTGTCACCAACTGACCAACTTATATTATAACACTATCTCTTCTACTCCACATAACTGTGGTAGTGTTCACTGGGGAATATGTCAATTCTAGTAAAATTTCATGTCTCTACCCATTCAAGTGGAAATGGAAATATATCATGAAAATTGTCTCTTGTACTCCACATAGTGTTCTTTTGGGAATACGTCAATTCTAGTAAAATTTTGGGTCGCTACCCATGAAAATGAAAGTGAAAATATATTGTGGAAATATTATGAAAATTAAGGGCATTTTAAACCATGATTATACTCTTTCATTCTTTTGAATCCCACTCGCTGTTCATGTTTGGGTTACATAATTTCTCCCAAGCTTTGGTGTGCATGGTTCTCTTAGAAGAAGAACCCTCCCACTAGAATCTATTTTGATATCCTTCCAATTTATTTATAGTGTGTTGCGGAAGGATTGTGGTTGACATTACATATGTGGGTATTGCTTGTAGCATTGACTTGACTAATATAGTTCTTCCTATTTGTGAAAGCAACTTAGCTTTCCACGTGGCTAATTTAGAGTTTGTTTTTCTTAAAATCTCTTGGTGGGGTAGGGTATCTCAGCCTAGGAAACATAGCTTGGTTCCCAAAATCTCTTGACCTTTATGATTTGATCTGGGACAGATTTGCACATGACTAAATAGTCATCAGCAAATAACCTTGAATTTCTTTTTATTGCTCAGCCTTCAACAACAGATATGATAGAACCTGCATACCTCTATTCATGGGGGGACAATAGATTCCTTTGTCGAAGACCAATTCTTAACTAAAATATTAATTCCTTCTAATTTCCATTGTTTTAATTGAGAATGTGGGAGAATTGATACAGAAACCCTATCATTTGACACAACTTGTCTGAGGATCTCATTCACTTCATTAGTTTAATAACAAAATTTCTTCTCAATCTATCATAAGCATTGGGCATATCAATTTTAAGTAG